TCTCCTAACAAAATGGAATTGAATTGAAGTAGCTGTCTAGTAAGCTGCCATATATCCCCTCTGGATTGGTTCCCCTTCCCTCAGCGGCTCAGCAGGCCCCTAAAAGGTTAGATCGTATGGTTCATATCGACCTTGAGTTGTCTATAGGATAATGTTCTCCGGTGTGGCACTGTATCCAAATTTCTAAATTCCTTTCATACGTTACTGTTTTAGTTATTTATGTATCAAATGACTGTTTCTTTGTTGCCTAATCATGTCAAATTACTTATTTTCGAAATCGTATGCTTTGGAATTGTGCTCCTATACTGGGCTGGTTGGCGCTCACCCTACGTTAATTCTTTCTTTTTCCACCCGTACTAGCTGCGAGGCGTGAGGCATGGTTCAATCAGCTTATCTTTATTGATACTGCCTTAGCTATGATAAATTTGAGCATGTACTTTGTAGTAAGTATCGAATTTGTATAGTTGTGGGCTTAATGATTCTATGATTGAGAGTTGTATCTTGTGAATCTTCTCGATGTTGTAGAGTTTATCACTTATGTTTTGACGGGGGGTTTTGGGCGATATGGAGTATGACAAATTGGTATCACAACTTACTCATTTATTTGAAAAATTAGTTTGTGCACACGTGCATTGAACGTGAACAATCTTAACTTATAGTTATACTGGTAATGTTAGTTCAAAGATCGAGATTACAACATAATAGTCTCAAAGACTATGCCCTTCACAAGTTTGAATCAATTAAAGAATGTTTCATTCAATTGAACATCATAAATTAATGAAACAGAATATAAGTCCATTGTTTAACTTAATGCACAAAATAAAATTCAAATAAAAGAATTTTTTTGGGTCAAAATATAAACAAATAAATAAATTAGATAGCAGTAGTATCGCTCCATTGCCATGTCCAATTGCTTCTTTATCTGTAACACTTAAACCAGAAACTGAAATAAAAATCATCGGATTATTTTTTTATTTAAAATTTTATCTAGCATATGGGTAAAAAGAATGTTAATTCTTAATTGGAGACCATAAACAGTCATGTTACTCTAGTTGTTGAACAATTGATCATATACTTGGGAATGATTGACATAAAGGGACAAAAAAATTTATCAATTCTTTATGGTGTTTGTGGTATTTCCCCAATTTGTTTAATGATACCATCTAAATACCAATAATAAAATATTTTGTTGTGATCCAAAGCACATTCTTTGGTAAACCTCAACAATGTTAGTAAAAAAATTTGAACAAAAATAAATGATGTGCAATGTTACTAAGCTACAAATAATTGCATAAATATTTGAAACCCAAATACATCACCTACTCCAATTAAAAAATCTAAAGCGTAAGACAAACATGACAGAAGTATCGATACTCCTAATTGGTCTTAAAACAACTCATTACTTTTGACATTAGAAGACCCACCAAAGTTGAAACAACTCGCATAAGTCTTTCATTGCTAATAAATTGTAAATCATGATTGGTTTAATTTTTTAAATAAAATGACATTCATTCGATAAAATTAAAAGCAGGTTTCTAACAGATCCCAATTTGGAAGGTCCTTCTGTTTTCAATAAGAAACATGCAATCAACAAAGAAAATTAATAGAAATCTACAACAATAAAAAAGATATGAAAATGGAGAAGAGTAATAGAAAGACAACATGAAAATGTTAGAGAGTGATTATTGAATTTAGGATGGGAAGGTCAAAAACCTTATATAATGGCTACAGACAGTGAACCACTCACTTCCAACCATCAAACATTTTATATCCTTAAAATTATATTGTCTTTACCTTTATTTTCTTTAGTATACAATCTTTCCAATTTCTTGTTTTCTATACATAGAGAAAGAGGGATAATCTTTTAGAAGTTGTGTCCCTTCATCTCTCTTGTTTCATAAACTGATAATTCAATGGAGAAAGTAGAACATGAGTATGTCATAAATGATGTATTGTATTGTCTTTATAATATATTTATTCACAATAGTTTAGATAATTAAGAAATGTTAGAGGGTAAATGAGGAAAATAAAAGTTTTTCAAAGATACATACTTTTTAAAGTAGTATAGATGTATGATTTAGTATTTATGAAGCTATTAATGCTTTGATTTGTATGAGTTGGGTTGTGTCGGGGCGTTACAAAAAGCAATTCCTTGATTTGTTACATCCTTCAAAATCTTGTCCGCATACCCTGTTATAGGTGTGAAGGAAACATATTAACAAGCCGAGACAAATTTTTAGGCTCATCAATATTGGAGAAATTTTGATCTTCATTCAATCGAATTGGAACTTTTGGTGGTGGAACTTATTCAATTACTCGTTGATGATCGATTAGTGAAGAAGATGAATAATAATCTACCTTGTTCAAACCATTGTTGATTGGGGGTTGTCTAAAAAGGGGATGAATTCTTTTTATAGGTTGCCAAACAGAGATTGTTTTCTTCCCCACACAACTAGTCACAACCAAACCCTAACTTTCAAACCAGTAGCAAATAGCAGCTCAATTCCAATGGCTCAAGATGCTGTCAACTATAGAAAAATCTTGGCATAATTGATGATGATGGTGGATAGATCTATAATGATGGCAAAAGTGTTTGTAGTGATGGTGACAATAGTACGCAGCCGCATATGAACAACGTTTGTGATGATGATTTAGAATGAGAACCAGAAAGTGAGAGAAATAGTGAGAAGCTGTGATGGATTGGAGTTTTGTTTTGATACCAAATTGATACCGGACGGAAGAGGAAAAAATTAGAGAATAGAAAAGAAGAAGAGAATAAGGGACATCAAACCCTTGCAAGAATTAGGTAACAAAACGCGAAAAATCTTTACAGAGAAACACTTTTATTAATATNAGAATAGAAAAGAAGAAGAGAATAAGGGACATCAAACCCTTGCAAGAATTAGGTAAAAAAACGCAAAAAATCTTTACAGAGAAACACTTTTATTAATTTCACTCTCTACACTAAATAGTGGGAATTACATTGATATTTATTGGCTAAGTCTTCTACCAAAATAAAAAACTACCTACTAAAATTCTAAAAGAGGTTTCATAATCAAACTTTCAAATCGTTATTATACTAGAACTCTATAATAATTCCCTAATCAAATTTTCACTGATTCTCTCTAGTCAAACAAGTATTCCAATAATACTTCAATTTTTTAATTTATGATTATTCAATCCCTTTTCGATCTCCGTCAAAGTCTTTTACGCTTTTTGTAAAAACCTACACAAATTTAGATCTCTCAACATAATTACCAATTTATAAATGATTTGAGTTTAACGAGCCCTTTTTAATGTGAACAAACCTTTAATTGAATGCTTGGATGCAAAATGCCTAATTTAACAACATCAACAACTCAATGCAAATCCACCATCCTTATCCCTCCAAGCCCTTCCAGTTCGATTGATTATCATATCGTCAAATAAATGGCGTGTGTGTGCAAAATGAGTAAATCAACAACAACCACAACACAAGAAAATTTTAATGTGGAAACTCTTTCGAGAAAAACCACAGGATCACTCTCGGTCCACCTAATCTAATCCACTATAATTAAAATAGGATTGCAAGGTCGAAAGTCTTATACCTCAACCAAGTCTTTGGTTAGATGCTTTATCCTTGTTAATTTTTTCTTTGGAATTGCCGCCACAAGGTCTTGAGTACTATCTTCAAAGGGCGAATCGAGCTCAATGATTCGACTTCTCTTTTTTCGGTCTTCAAGGAATCATCCAAAAATCTACTCGATCTTTTGCACACTGATGTCAATTTGGTGGGTTTCTACAAGATTTCTCCTTTCTTCTTGATTTAGAGTTAAGTATAAAATTTAATTAAGACAGATTTGGCCTTGAATTGCTTAGGGATCTCTAGGGTTTGTTCTTGGTTCCCTTGTATTGATATGATAGAGGCTTAATGAGAGTTGCCTTAATTTGAAAAGAAATGCTTATATGGGGCTGTTATAAATAATTAGACTGGTCGTGGAAGCAATAGGTTGGCTAATAGAGGTGAGAAAGGAAAGACAATTGCATTGTTTGATGGAAAATATCCTGTCGGTGCAACTAGTCCAAAAGCAAGAATTGCTTCACAAGTTAGTCATTTCACTCTTGGAGAAAAAAGAGACATCTTATGTATGCCCGCAATAAAGAGTTAACTTAATAGGGCTTGGGATGGACAAGAGGAAGTATGGATGATGAGGAATATATTGAAATTCTTCTAGTATAAGGAGTCCTTGGTGGTATGGAGAGTGATGACAACACCCAAGATCAAAGAAGAGGATTGGAGGCATAATATTTTCCATACACATGTTTTTTGTAGTGGTAAAGTTTGAAATGCTATTCTTAGTAAGGGCAGCAGAAAGAACATCGTTTCAAAGGAGGCCGTAGAGAATTTCAATTTACCAGCTGAAAAAACCCTAATCCTCATAAGATTGCTTGGTTCCGAAGAGGAAATGATGTACCAGTTACTTCTTGTTGCGTGGTTAAATTTATTATGGGTAATACTATTGATTGGGAAGCTTGGTGTGATGGAACTCCTGGATGCATGTTTTATTCTCTTAGGGAGGCAATGGTTGTGTGATAAAGTGGTCCATTATACAAAAACCAATACCTATTCCTTCAAGCAAGATAGTAAGAACTTAACTCCGCAGCCTCTAAAAGAAGTGACAGTTTTTTACAATGCTAGTAAGGTGAATGGCTTTTTGACTGCCCAAAAATTTGAAGTGGAGTGTAGACAATTGAGAATTATCTATGAGGTAGTAGGTAGACATGTAACGGAGTCCCAACAGTTTGAATTTCATGATTATCCACTTGAAATTCAACGGTTATTTAAAGATTTTTAGGACCGTGAGGCTTGCCACCATTGAGGAGTATCCAATGTGCCATTGATCTACTACTAGGTGCAGTTTTACCCAATCTATCGGCTTACGGAATTCCGCCTCTACATAGAGTTGAAATGCAAAGACAAGTTGAAGAGTTGCTTGACAAACATCCAAAAAGGATGGTTCATGCAGAATGTGTGGATAGTCAATGGCAAAGCACTAGATGGACTCTCTAATGCTTTGAGTACATTTATGCGAGCTATGAAACCAAGAAAGTAAGAGCTATCAAGGGGTGACCACTACTACAATCTATGGGTGATGTTTGTAGTTTGTATGGATCGGTTTCGTTCTACACTAAGTTTATATAGAATTTTAGCTCTTTGATGAGTCCAAACACAAAATGTTTGAAAGGAGTCGATTTTAAGTGGTCAAGACTAGCTAGTGAGAGTACATGGATTGCCAAGGAGGAATTGAAAGGGATTGATCCGAAGGTTGACGCCGAAGTTGTGGAAACTTTCTCACCAGAGTCAAAAGTTTCTTCCAACCTTAAGGGGTTGATGTGGGAGCATCCAAGAGGCTTATCAAGAACAAGCGATTCCTCTATCTAATAGGCCTAACTTGAGCTTTGGTCGGTCGGTTTTTGGATTATGTTTTTATTTTTTGCAGTATGTATAGTTTATGCGAGTGTTATAGGTAGTTTTTTATGGTCCAAGTCTTTTTTAAAATAGTAATGTGATTGTCGTGTGAGTTTTTAATTATCTTGAAGGGCAGCATTAAAGAGTTATTGAAGTGATTAAGGGCTAGGAGTCTAGGGTTGTTGTAGGTAACTTTTTCCTATTATTATTCTAGAAAATCAGAATTTCTGTCTTTCTTTGGTCTCTTTGCTCTAGAAATCCATATATTCTTGTTTCTTCTTTGATTCTAGTGCTTTTTCTTGTTATGTTACTGCTGGAAATTCATTAAAAGGGTTGATTCTTGCTATAAATAGCAATTTACAGCAGGTCTGAGAATTTTGCTGCATTACTCTATCAACATTTTTGCTTTATTTTCTGGAGTCCAATTTTGAAAGTATGTCCATGAAGGGGTACTACTGATTAGGCTAAGTGCTTGCAACATTTATAATCTGGAAAAGAAGTCCGTTAGGTTGTCTATTGTGCTAGTATTATACTTCGGTTGAGAATATCACATAACCTTGCATAAAATTTGAGGAAAAAACTGATAAACTCCCTTTCTTGTAAGTTTGATTCATCTCTAAAGGAACCTAATATGCACTTTTTATGGTGAAAAGACCATTCCATTGTCTAGTTTCATGCTTTCTCATATGTAGCTGCCTATGTTTTTACATATCTACATCATGATGCATTAATTTGGTGAATTAGATGCACACACCATTTTCTTGTTTTGTGGTCTATGAAACACGGATATTTCATTAAGGTCGACGTATCCGTATTGAATATCGTATTGGATACGATACTCGAGGACACAAATTGGATATGTATCATTCGTATCCAATAACTTCGTGGATATGCGTCCAAAATGAATATGTTTTGCATATGAAAGTGAGTACACGAAGCAATATGTATTGTTTTTGGTTTTAATTTTTACTTTTTCATTTCAAATTCACACAATGCAACACATTTTTAACACATGAATATTTCTTTAGTATAATCTGTTATCGTAAGTAAAAGGAACATAAAACGAGTTAACCAGATTGCATTTCTAGGCAACACGTATTTATTAGCAAACCAACTAGTTTAATGTTGGTTGTAATTTATTTAATTTGTCATGTTCACTTTGTGAATAGGCCATAATGAGATGTTTAATACTTATTTGAGAGTAAAAATTGTGATTTTTTTTGTATTGTTGTTAAATTATTTATTCCATATTATAGTTATCGAGTTGATAGATATGAGTGAAAATATAAAATATATTCTTTTATGAATGTATCTTAGCCGTATCCGTATCCGTATCCAATTTTTTTAGCTTTGGCCGTATCATTATATCTATACTGTATTGTAACCGTATCTCTTATCCATATCCATGCTTTTTATGTTGTGATCTATCCGCTCCCTGAACTTCACTTTTGGGCCAATGCTCTATAAGAGATGTCTCTGTGAAAGAAGTAGGTCATGTGTTCCATTTATTCTCCTATATTGATGAATTCTCCATCCACAAACCTGCAAGAACATTTGTGTCAATATGTTTTAGAGGCTGTGTGTAAAATAAAAGTTTGTAAAGGCTCTGTACATCTGTGCTAAACCTGAATCTTTTTCCTTCTATTATTGGTTTATTAGATTGCAAGAGGCTGAGGATGACTGTACAGAGGCCTTAAATTTAGATGATCGTTACATTAAAGCATACTCACGCCGTTCAACAGCTAGAAAGGAACTTGGAAAACTTAAAGAATCCCTTGATGGTAGGCTAAATGCCTCACTGTATTCTGTTTTGCTTAAACTATAATGTAAAATGGATTCTTCTGATCACTTTCAATGATGTTATGTTTGTCTGAACACCACTTGAGTGACTGCAGATGCTGAGTTTGCCTCGAGGTTGGAGTGTAACAACCAAGAGGTCAAGAAGCAGTATGCTGAAGTGAAATCTTTGTATGAGAAGGTATACATTTGCAATGCGTTGCTGCCTTCTTTTTTTTTATTTTTTATTTTTATTTTGTTTCTAGTGATATTTTGCCTAGACATGTTCTGCTGTTTCTAGTTATGAGGCCTAGGCATTGGCTGATTTTGGGAATTTTTGACGTGTTTCTAGAATGTCATTTCTCTAAACTTTTTTGAAATGCTTAGTTTCATTATGTTCGTCATGATAAAAACTCTGTCATAATGGTATTGCTGCATAGTTACTCAGGCTTTAGAGATGATGATGGAGAGAGAAGCTGGGTAGGAAAATTTTTATCTTTTATCTGCTTCCTTGCAGAGGAGCTGATGGTGTAATTTTATACAGAAATTTGGACCAACAGCATGATATTTGCTTTTCGGTTTGGTCTCTTCCATATATCACCAGGATGCCTATTCACAGATTAGTTCTGTGGGTTTTATGTTACTGCCTATCTGGTTACATCTAGGTGATTTATGATTTGTCATTGCAATATTAATTTTTCCAGGAGATTCTAAAGAAAGCGTCTGGAGCATTGAAAGGGTCGATGCAAGGGGTTCAAAAAGCAGGGAAGCAAAGGGTGGAAATGACCGAACATGTTCAGGCCATTAACCCTGAGCCAAGGCCGAGAATTGCTGGAATTCAGGAAGATCGTACCAAGGTATAAACAATTAGAGTTTTTGTTTTATTGTGAAGAATATGATTGTTTTGAAGAAAAATGAGAANGAAAGCGTCTGGAGCATTGAAAGGGTCGATGCAAGGGGTTCAAAAAGCAGGGAAGCCAAGGGTGGAAATGACCGAACATGTTCAGGCCATTAACCCTGAGCCAAGGCCGAGAATTGCTGGAATTCAGGAAGATCATACCAAGGTATAAACAATTAGAGTTTTTGTTTTATTGTGAAGAATATGATTGTTTTGAAGAAAAATGAGAAAAAAAAAAGGTGAATGGTGGATGTTTCTTCATCATTTCCTGTGTTTTATCTCACTGGTTTGTGTTACAGTTAAGTTTCTCGAATATTCCCTTCTAGGGGTTTTGAACTTCAGGATCACTTTTAGGAGTGTTTGGGAAGTTTAAGTACAAAGCTCATGAGCAATTTGCACCCAGGTTTCTTGACATTGTGCTTTCAGAATGTACTTCGATTAAGAATGCATTTTTCTTCAAAAAGTTTAAATGAATCGAGACAAAGTTTCTGCCCATCAACTTTTTGACCTTTATAGAAGGTGATACGAACTTGTTGAAATACCAGATTATGAGAAAAGTAAACTTACAATATAAATATTGCTTCAGTATCTGTTCCTGAATTTTCAAACCCTATAGGCAGGAGAAGGATAAGGACATGTTCCTGCCGAGACATCCATGGAAATGGAAAACAAGAGTATGAGAACTAAAGGGGAAAATGTGGGTGCTTCTCGTTAAGATACTTCTTGGTACTCTAGTTGGGAAAGTTCTAAGTCTTATCATGAGATCTTGCTCCATTACATTAGATATGTTTTTATTTGGTTTTACTGAGATTTGCTTTGAGTTACTCTTTTTGTAAGGTTGCAGATAAAACTACAGTTGAAAATATATTTGTTATATTTCTTATTTTCTTCCAGCTGGGTGTTTTGGAAACCAAAAGGCATCAGAAAATACTTTAATGAATTTCAATACTTCTACAGGACACTTTTTTGTTGACTGCCTCCTATTCTACTCCGTGGATACTGATGATACCTCACTAAATTTTAACTGCTTCTGAGGATCATGGTTAATCTTAAAACCTATGTATACTTGTAACATCCACATTGAAACAAATATTCTTACTTCTTGGTGACTAAATTGGTTACATTCTGTCCTATTCAATCTATCTTCTGTTTTGTACCAGAAGATTTTCCAGGAAAAGCAATAAGTTAGGCAACCTAGATGCTTATAAACTGAAGCCTATGATATGCTAGTATATACATGTTCCCTACACACACAGGCAGTTTGAAGTTAAGACTCCTGTGACAGCAAAACGTGCCCTAGTGCTTGAGTGCCACATTTTATTTCTGTAATTTCAGGCACCGACATGCACCTGATTTTTTCTTCTATGCCAGAGACAAGACCTGATTTATCCCCCTAGATTATTGCAGGCTTAGTGAAACCGTTGGTTGGTTTCACGGTTCCTATAGTAATTTCTTCAATCACTCTTAGATCCAATCCAGGGTTCTTGTAACAGCCCCCCTTCTTTCTCCTTGTTCTTTAGGTTACAGTCTTGCACTGTGTGACCATTGCTTCAAGTATAGTTGTTCATGTAGAATGGTTTTTATTAATTGGATATGTTCTGAGACTATTAATCATCTGCTACAAAATCCTATGATGAAGTAAACCTTGGCCAGATGCATGGCCTCGTGAGTATCTGTCATTTTTCCAAAATGCTGTAGGATTATGTTGGTTATACAAATTCCTAGCTGGTATGACTTGCTAGAAACTTTTTCAATAGGGACGAAATTCTCCTTATGATTATGCAATATTGTAGTTTCTGTCCTTTTGCACTGAGTTGCAGTTCCTTCCATCCTCCCTATGTTTTTCTTCCATTAACACTGTTCCATCTTGTAATTTTTCTCAGATACATCACAGAAACGATAAACAAGTGCTGAATACCTCAGTGCAGGAGCTTGCTGCTCAGGCGGCAAGTCTTGCTATGGCTGAAGCAGCAAAGAACATCACACCACCAAATTCAGCTTATCAGTTTGAGGTTTCTTGGCGAGGATTGTCTGGTGATCGTACTCTGCAGGCTCGTTTATTGAAGGTTTACTGTAGTCGTCATTTGTTTGGATATGGTGACGTGTAAAAGATAGTGTTCTAGATTGCTAAGTAGATTATATTTGCACCTTTACCTAAAAGTAATTTATTCGGCAGAACACAGTAATGATCCCTCAAGTATGCGCTGTTTGTTATCTTGGTCATCATCCTTTCAATTTCATTCCTTTAGTCTATCAAATGTTCAATGTGTGTCACTTTGGTCCAATCGGCAGTGGCAGTTTGAATTGACCAAGAGAATTGGCCATGTGTGTCTTTCAAAGAAGTGGTTTAAATTGACTATTAGAAATGGTCTTGTGCGTCTCAGGTGACCACACTTCAGGAGCTTTCTTTACAAACTCAAGGAACTAAAGTGACAAATGGAAAGAATAAAGACCAATGTGACATAAGTTGGAAACTTGAGGGACCAAAGTGACCCTCAATTTTGGTAACATGAGATGAGACGTATGTTACCACTTCCGTTAGTTAATTTTTTTTAACAGTCTTCGGCTAATTCATTTAGACCTCCATTTTCAATTAGATTAAAGTGATACAAATTGGAAATGTGAGGTACTAAAGTGAAGAAATTGAAAGAATGAGGAGCCAAATGATACAAAATGCTTTCTCTTGGGACTATTACTGCATTTTTGCCAGATCGATTTCAGTATCCTCTTAGTCTGCTGGATGGTTATTTGGTTAGATACCTTTAAAAAATGATATTTGATATTTGCTAGAAGACCTATAAACGTAGTCGTATAATATTCTGATGTGCCATGTTCTGCATGGGGACCTTCAAAGGAATTGTCTATGCATTGTGGGCATAAGTAATAAGCACACAGATGCTGCAAAAGAAAAAGGGTATCGGGCACATGTGCTTGCAATATTTATATACTGGGCACTATTATCCTTTCCAAATGCTTCTCTCTGATAATTTCTTTTTTAAGCAGTGTGCTGCTTTATTTTTGTTGCAACTGATTCTTCTTTTTTTTTCCCCGCATTGTTAGACTATTTCACCAGCTGCATTGCCACAGATATTTAAAAATGCCTTGTCTGCTCCAATTTTGATCGGTATTGTCAGATGCATTGCCACGTTTTTCACGTAAGTAGATGTGTTTCTGATATAATTTATATGAGGAACAGATGAATCTCTATATAAACCAAATAAAAAATGCTAACCTATTTTCTGCTTGGCAGTGGAGAAATTGATTTGGCCATCAATTATTTAGAAAACTTGACCAAGGTCCCAAGATTTGACATGATCATTTTGTGTCTTTCATCAACAGACAAGGCAGGTATGCCCACGTAATTTCATCCTTTAGATTTTAGAAATCGTAAATTATGTAGAGTTAATGCTATATTATGCGCCTATTATTTGAGCAATGAAAGGTTTTGTCCAATGATGCCTATTGGATTTCCATGAATTGGAAAGATTAATGACACTAAAAGAATACCGACCCATCAAGTAGCTCAAATGGTAGGACTTCAGTTGTTAATATCTTGAGGTCACTAGTTAGAGTGTCGTAAGAGACACCTTGGTTGACTCCATGTGTGTGGTTTGCGGGTGATTGGATTCATGTCGAGTTTATAGAGCAGCCACAAGTCCAAACGGCGTGGTGTAGACGGTTCTCAGTCATTAATAAAAATGATACCGTGAGAGACCTTTTAAAACTTACTTACCATTCTGCTAGCCATATCCATGTATATCAATCTTACAAGTTAATTGCACATGGTAAGCATTTGATTCCGTATTATGTGATGATTTTTTATTCCTTAATTTGTGCATTAATAGAAGCATTATATTGTAGACTAGTTAATGCACCTGCCTGAAGGCAGGTACTATGCAACACCCAAAAAAAGTAAAAGAAATATTGCAAAATTTTGAAATCACCGATTAAATATTCTATCTTTCCAAATTTCTATGGTTCAACCAAATCATTTGTTGAGTTATGACATATATTCTAACTTTGGAAGAATCCTTACTATCATATATTCCAACTTTGCAATCAAAACTGTTAGAATGAAGGGGAAAGAAACTACCTGGGTACAACAATCTTTTCAAACTCTGCGATCAATCTGATGTACTCCAAATCAAAAGCCTTAAACTTGATTTTTCCGATGCTCACCTCCTGAGATGTCGAGTACTGAGTTGGCTGGAGTTGAACCAATCTCTACCTAATTCCAAGTACACATCTTAGATTCACTATTGAATTAGATCCAAAAAAACTCTAATTAACTGTAAATGACGACTTCAATTCTGAAAAATAATACTTCATCTCGACATTCTTTTATTTGCACACAATCTAACATACATGCTATATACAGAAGAAGTATGCCGGTTAAATTGGTCACTTGATCAACTCCTCCAATTGTTTTCTTGAAATTTAAGGTTAATGGTGCTTGCAAAGTAATTGCTGCATGTTTTAATTACTATGACCCTATGGGGTAACTACAAAGATGGAAGTGGAGTGTCGTACCATGATATATGGTCTTCAACTCATTATTTAACTGTCAAGTACATTGACAAAACGGAGAAAAGGCACAAACTTCTTGTATAGAGACGAAGACCAAATAGTTGAATTAAAACTTAGCAAGCACGGACACTGGGATACGACAAATATATGACTATTTAAAAAAATATAATATATTTTTTAGATAATAATAGAGTTATAATATATTAAAAATAAAGCATATATTATATAATATTATTGATAAGATCGAACAAATATTAATTTTTTGATTAATATTGAAATAGATTGAAATAAATATCTATCATTTTCACCAACTATCATTACATCCATTAATAATTATAGTATATAAGTTACATAAAAAAAAAGCAATAGAAAACACACCTCTTAATAGTTAATAGTCATTTTTAGAAGGAAAAAAAAATTATGGTCGTGTCCTAGGTGTGATCTGGTCGTGTCTAACTGAGTGCACTATTCAGGACACTTCCTTTGGGAAGTATCTGGGTTTCCTAGATTAAACCACAAAAAGCATAAAAAAAAAAGGAAAAATAGTTGAATTAAAACCAAGTAGACAAATACAAATTCGATCATGTGCATTTGTCTCTTCCTTTGGTGCATAGTCGGGGTGCTCTTCATGTCTTCCAAAACAATTATCTATTAGAGGTGGATAAACAAGTTCATTTTAGTGCAAAGATAGCCACCAATGGACATTGTTCTTGATCATATTTTTGTGATTTAGTGCAGCTACTCTAACCCAGATTTTAAGAAAAAATTAACCACAGAGACATAAACTAACTGATTTTGTTCTTCTGAACTCTTTTTTGATCCAAATCTAACCCAATCAAATAATACCACTGACTTTCAAGACCCAAAAGGTTACTCCATATTCCTTTGGTTGGGGTAGTAGAAGAATTTAATTCTTAAAATTAAACAGCTAAAGATTGATCACAAAAACACATTAGTAGGCATCATCAGACTAAACATCATGAAAACACACCATGAGAATGAACAAAAATATGAAAGCCAAAAAAAAAAAAAAAAGAATCCTTAGCTTTTGCAGGATGAGGAAACATTAACTCTATTTTTTGAAACCAAAAGAATTCTTAGCTTTCGCTTCAAAAATGTTTGCCTCGCCTTGGATACTTGAGGTGACCTGGGCTTGCCTGACCTCGCCTTGTGCCTAGGCAATCACTTAGGCGCACTTTTAATAACACTGGTCCCAGGACCCATAACCTGCACACATGCAAAGGTGCACCCAAAGACTTGGGAGCCTGCAAATCTTGATAAAGGGGTGTCAAAACAACCTTCAAGTCCTCTTGGACTGAGATTCCACATTTTTCATTTTAGAAACTTTAAGTAGGATGCTAACATAATTTTAGAAGTTGCAGGCCCCAAGACATTAATCCTGAAAACTAGTTCTTTTCTGCTGACTCCATACTTGTGGTTAGGCATTGTTATCTTTCTATTTAAATTACAGTTGGCTTCAATTCCATTAAAACAGAAAAGATAAATGAGCAAAGATACACACTTCAGCGGTCATTTCTATTTGTATTCAAAACTGTTATGAATTGCAATGGAATTCAGTTTGACAAGACTTGGATTTCCTATAAAATAGATATCCTCAAGATGTGGGACGAAGTGTTCTGTGACAATGGAACTCTGCTGTACACTGAAGTGCTTGGTAAACTGCGTTCAAGGTACTGCTGCAAACAATGAAGGGGATGGGCTTTCAAAGAAACTGTGCTCAAGGTACTGCATCAACCAATGAAGGGGAATGATGCCATGAAGCATCTAGAGTTTTGTCTTACAGTAAACTGTTATATTGTGTTCAATGGTATGTTTGTATTTAACAAAACGGGCGAGGAAATGCAATGCCTGTCCACTCCCAAAACGACGCGCAATGTTGCTAAGGACGCACTTGAATATTAAACTCTTCTTGGTGGCATTTTGTAAACAATTTGAGTGTTAGCAATTTCAGTTCATTCACTCTGAAGATGATGTTTTTTTTACCGGATCCAAGAGGGAATAAATCTTATTAATGAATGTGACATTAAATAAACCCCTATAAAGAGTTTTTGTTTGTGGTACATGATAAATTTTGTTCATCATGAACCTTAGTAAATCGGAGGTGGTAGAGTTTGCTGGGTGTCATTTCAAGTTGATGTCGTTATTCAACTGCATCAAAAAGGCAAATAGAGCGTGAGTTCGAGTTTCTTTGTTTTGGCATGAAAGACTGCGTATGGGTCACATCATTCAGTATAGAAAATCATGTATGTAATTTGAGTTGGTGTGTGTAACTGATAAGCAGCAACTGCAGGACAATCCATATCCCCAACAGACTGGGGGATCAGACGCCATAGGATGATTCCATGGGCCTTGCTATGGTTACATTCCTAAAGAGCCATAAAATTGTATTGCATTTTTTAGCAATAACTTCTGGTTTATTCTCCTGCACCATGAGTTTTGTCTAGCTACATCAACTACTCAATCAGTATCAAGTGGGGTGCGGGGGTTGAAGCCATGAGGCCCATGACCATGCTCATCCTACCTTGGCCATCATTGATAATTTGATATTTATGATTGGGCTTTGGGGGCTTGATCTTACTATTGGTCAGGTAACCAACTTGGGAACTCTGGAATGTTGCATTCTTTTAGCCTTCATTGACGATGGCGGTTTCTTTGTTGCATTTCCAGGTAAAAAGTTACTGCACGCTGCTACCAAAGCCAAAAACTACAATAACTGATGAAGGCATAAACTTGGCATCCACGATGATGTGCATATAGATGAGAGATCGGAACGGGATCTTACTGTGTAGGGAGAGGGGGAGAGAGAGACATGGGGGGCAAAAACCTAATAGATCGATCGGCAACTAGGATGATAAGATTTGAGTGGCTAATACACCAAGGTTTTATGTTTTGGTAAAAGCGTCTTAGTTAATTTGATGTACATGATTTGCTAATAATTCTATACATTTAGAATTTTTATTTAGTGATGATAAATGTTTATATGGACTTTATTTGAAAACCTGATTCAATATAGTTATTGAATTAGTTTTGACTTATAATGTTAAGTGAAATTTACTTTTAATCCAATGATGCATTGAATTAGGTCCCCATATTAATTTTACAAATTTAGGTCCACATAGCATAAGAAAAAGAAAAAAAAAAAAAAACACATTGATTGAGCTCTCCAATACTAGAAGTCAAACATACATGCCACTTTTTAGTAGTACTAAGCGATGATAGGTTGGGATTGAGACCTATGCGGCTCAGCTTTGTATTGGGTTGAGTCAGGTTCAGTTTTATTTTGGGCAACCTATATACTTTTTAGCAGAAATTTGCCATAAATGCAGTCACGTCGTCTTTTTCATCCTCTACTTCAGGTAAGCTACTTTTAAGTTACTAAGTACACGTCAGGTATCCTTTATTTGTCTTGTAGTCCAAACTAAAAAATTAATATTTTGATTACCAAAACACCCCTGTACAGTTGTATCATACTAAATCTGTGGTACATTCCTTATTTTTCTCCTTTTTCTTTCTTGTAGAAAATTTTGAATTTCA